GCTGCCGCTGCTCGTCCGCGACCGCTTATTCGGTAGGCCGAAGCCCACCTTATTCACGGTCAGCCGCGAGATGGCGGCCGTTCCCCTATCCGCGACCTGGGGACGCGCTCGGTAGCATACAACTCTGCTCTTCCGAGGCTGTGCGGAATACTTCAGCAAACAGTTCAGATGGCCTGGCGCTAACCAGGTTACTTCACCTGCAACTAAAGCTCCACCTGCAGTGTCGTGTGATTCCCCAGCAAAAGCAGAAGTTCAGTTTTACATTCAAGCTCTGAAGCGATGAAAAACAGCAGGCCGGATGAGCCCCCTCCCATTCTTTTCAAGATGAGGTTGATAACTTCGTAGGCGCTATTACTGCCTTACTGCGCAACATTTCAACGCGAGAACGCATTTCTTTATCTTGAGGCGAATCACAGATCGTTCCCATTTTCAACAAAGGATCTCGAACGATTGCGGAAACCACCGAGGAATAAGTTCGATCCCCATTGTCAACAAAGTGCTGGCCTCGGTCATACTTCGACATCTGACTCCTTTAAGAGACACCACCTTCCATGAACAGCAAGCCGCATTCCGGCCTGGCTGGGGATGTATTGATCAAATTTTTACGCTGTCAGTTCCTTGAGCTGCGTCACACACCGTCGACCAACGATAGCGGTGTTCCTTGACCTGAAAGGAGCATTCGACTCAGTTGACCGCGGAGCTCTGATAGGTTCTTCGAAAAGGAATGCCCCAGAAGTACATCAACTTACTGAGGTCATTATACTCACATACCTCTGATCGGGTATGGGTCTTTGATGAACTAAGTAGGCCGTTCGTCACCAGCAGCGGCGTTCGTCAAAGATGCCCTGTTTCACTGTTTCTGTTCAATTTCGTCGAAGACGAAACACTGGAGAACGCACTAAGTGGTCTCCAAAACGCTGGTATTGAATGGGCATCTGGAGAAAAACTGTAATTTGAAGTACGCCGATGATATCATCTGTCTGTTCGAATGTACGGAAGATCCGCAAAGCACAATCGATAGACTAACAAGCGCCACTGCCAAATTCGGTATGTGCTTTGCACCTTCAAAGTGCAAAGTGATGTTGCAGGCTTGCGTCTCGCCTACTCCCTCACTCAAACTAAATGACCAGGAGTTGGTTATGGTGGATTACTTTTCGTACTTGGGTAGTTGCGTGACCAATGACGGTGGCGCAGCTAAGGGGATAACCGCCTGCGTTTCCAAAGCACGAGCATCTTACGCAGGTCAGGATTACCTTTGGTTCCGACGTGATGTTTTGTGGAAACTGAAAGGCCGTGTATACTGCTCCAGTGTGCGATCAGTTCTGCTCTATTGTTTTCGAGACCCTACATTTGCGCGTGGAAGATATTTGTCATCTAGCAATCTTCGATTGCCGATGTTTACATAGTTTGGTGCGAGTTGGTTGGAGCGAGCGTACAAGCAACTCTGAGGTAAGTCGTCGCGTATTTGGTAATGATTCGATCGAGAATTCGTTGTCCCATCGAATTCAGATTACTTGTCTTCGCTGGTTAAGGTACGTATTGCGCATGCCGAGCTATTGTCTACCGCACCGCGCCTTATCCGCAATTGCGGCCTCAGGTTGGAAGAAACCATGTGTAGGTCAACGGATGACGTGAAAACAAGACCTGGAGAAATGCACAGAGCGATTCGGTGTCTTTCTTCTTCCAGGTTGGGGTCCAAAAGACTGCATCTGGCTGGTTGGAGACATTGAGAGATATGGCAGCGAACCAACAGCTATGTCGTACTTGTTGCCATTTCTTACCAGGTCAGAATGCTTGAAAAGGTATGTATGCACACTTAGATTGTGTACTCTGTGTTGACCATAGAGGTTCATTTTTATTTTCCACTCTCCAATTAGCCCCAGTCCCTCTCCATCTTGTACTTTCTCACTTCGTGTACATTGTGAGCTTGGCAGAGATGATTGCCTAGCACATAAAATGAACTCTATCGATTGGTGTCTGCTGTCTATCAGACCCGTTGATTTCTTATTCTAGGAGCCACTGGATCTATCCTCCACATATTTCTCTAGCACATCTGTAGACGATGAAGCTCATTCACCAGGTCAGTTTACAGTGGATACTACAATGCTCGACAAATCTGAAGCCAGGAGGATCAGTAACCTTGACGGAGGATCGAAAAATCCCTGTTGATCAGGATCAAAGCAAGACAACTAAACCTGACGGTTTTTCTCCATTTCTTCAAAGCGGAAGTTGACGTCTTCATAAGTGTTTCAATCAGTCATCACTATATTATTAAGCCATTGATATTTTTATCTTCTAATCTTTTCCTTCGGTGGGCATTAGATTATGCAAACCACATACTTTAGAAAATAGAATGCACGATTGGGCGAAGCGGATATTGTATGGGTATCGTTTGAAAGTATTGTTTGTTCAATTCAGAATAAAGGAAATTTTGCCGGAAGAGCTGGTCGTAGGTATATAAAACTCAGACACTTATTTTTCTCCATTTTCAGATTTTGTGGCCATGTACGCAGTGCAAAGGCTTATCGAGCCGGTTCACAACTTTGTCCATACGGATTCCATGTACCCAGTGAAATCGTGCTCCAAGGGTTCAGGGAGCGAAGATATCACGGAGGAAAATGAATTAGAGCCGAACATGTGTGATAGGCTGAATTCCCTAGAAGAATCGATTTCTCATTTGCTTAAATTATTCAAGGAAGCGAAAAAGCATCCATTGAAATCTTCAACTACTGTGATCAAAACAACTCAGCAGCATCCAGTTGCTACTCCAGTCCTCTCGCAGAAACTAGCAACACCATTGGCTACCGTTGTGGTTCAGGCGAATCCAGATAACCCCCCAATCGCAGCTTTGCTATACTGTCAAACGCTGGCACAAAAAGGAATCCACATCTCATTGTTCTCTTACGTCCATTCGACCGTTCACGAAATGCCCGCCAAGCTGGATCGATTCTTGAAGAGTTTATCCGTATTCGGTAACCCAAACTCAAGTAGTTCCTTGTGCGTTCGAATCGTTTGGAACGGTCATTGTCCTGATTGCGTTACTTTCACCGACATTAAAGCCACTTTCCTCTATGGTGAATCGATGTTGATACAAAAGTTGTTGTCCCTAGTCGAACCGGATGCTCCTCAGGAATTGACTGAACTCCTCACAACCATTGACAAGGGGCTATTGCTCATCCCAAGTCTACGTCAATCGACAATTTCTCTGTTGCAATCACATTCATATCTAACCAAACCGAACCGATCCTCTCCCAGTGCAGTTGATTGTTTCTTGTATGTCTGTGCCCGAAAGTCGGATACCCTCAATTGTCTTCCTGCAAACTGGCTCAAGATATGCACAGGCTTTCAGTCGATCCAAACCTTGAACTTGTTGTTTGATAAATAAGACGTTTCACTGAGTGACGGAATATAGTTGGACTGTTTGATTTTATTGTTACTCAGTCTGGGGCCGAATATCAGTCAAATTCAACTAGTGTGCACGCTCTGTGCATAGGAAATGGGAGATTTAACAGTGAAAATGCAATCGTATGACTACGAGGTCGACGATCAGAGTTGCCTACAACTGGGTGTTTGGTTGGATAAACAAAAGCTCATTACTGAAAATTAGTTCTTTGCGTAAATAATTGAACAGTGTCCGGTTCAGGGTCCACACGCAAGATCCCAATGGGGAACAGATTTGTAATTTAGTGAGTTGGGTTTCGAAACCTATTTCACTACATACCATTTACTATAAGAACTTTTTCGAGATCAAATTGCTTACTACCTAAACCGTAAAGATGATCATCTACCGAACGGTCTGCGAGGAAAGCTGCGGTATGGTCGGGACAGGGGGGGGGGCTGGTGTCTTGGCGTGTTACTGACCATCGTATGCTTGCATATTGCGAAATGCGGGCAAGCGTCTCAGATAGCTTCTGTTGAGGAAGCTCTACTCACTGCCTTCATCTGGCGGAGCTGCTTTCCCACCAAAGCGAGAGGGTGAAAAACTAATATCTGGGCTGATGAACTATTGGCATTTCACCAGGGGCGTCGGCAAAAACCCTTGGTTCTAAACCAGTCAAGAAGAGGCATGCGAACCACACATATGGTTCTGAGTGATCACTGACTTGATCGGACATAAAGGTGTTTTGGGTACGCGGACGTTCAGCTCCAATTAGATGAATTGGACCCCAATGGGTTGCAGTTTTCACACAACGCCCCGCCGTCTTGCGGTTTAGGCTTTGGTTAGCCCAAGGTTCTGATTGTGAATTCGTGAGGAAAATTCACCCACCTGGCAGCATTCCACTTGAGAACAATTTTTTTTGTGATTTGATTCCTTAGACATTTTGACATCCCATCTAGGTGCGTAGCGAACTTAAGCGATTACGTCTGGTTTACCGAACATCTCAGATTATATATCGGCGAAGAATTGTTCAAAGAGATATGAGTTGAGTAGGAAACTGATGAGAAAATTGTTGTTGCCTGTTCGTGGTGGATTCAGAAAGTCCCGCTATGAAAGTACGAACACAACCTAAACTGATAACTATCCTAGATAGAGTTGCGCGGGCATATTTAAACCCCACCAGTCCACGTGTTTTGTACGCGTAGGTACTGTCTTTCGTATTTTCATTTACATCTGACTCCAGACTGTGCCCAACAAATCACAGTATAATAAACTTTGGGAAAAGAGAAAGTTTCATGATTTTTTGAGAGGACGATACTACTGGGTTGCCGACGACAAAGTAGGTGGATTTTCTTGGGACGGGCTAGCCCAAGCCTGACCCACCAGGCAACCGAGCGGTGCATGTGAAAACCTCAGTACGCTGGGACTGGTGTCCAGTTAATCGGATCATACGCCCTTCGGACGGGGTTAAACGTTCGAAGTGCCTCGCCAAGTCGGCGGTCACCACCACAGCTGAAAAGGTTCGGTTCGCTTTGCACAACTGCTAAACATGCACCTTCGCGCGTCGGTTTTGGTTGCTGTCTTTTGGCTGCCCATTTGGATGAAGAATAGGAGAAGACAGGAAAGTTGAAGGCAGAGTCGAACAGAGAATGGAAAATTTAAGTGGTCTAAGTTTGCAAAGAAATTGACAAAATGCAGGAACGCAACTATTTATGACACGGAGCCATATCACTCAGTCTCCGCGAACACCACTCGTCGTGGCAACTTATTTGGTGGCATGCGTAACACGCCCCAACCAACGTACTTTATGGAGGTCGATCACTTGCTCCAGTGGGCGACCGCGGTTACGCAAAACTGCACCTAACCTCAGCATCGTTAGTCCGGCTGCCCCACCAGATTCGTGCAATGCTGCATAGACAGCTGTGTTCAAACACCGACAGTCTGTATTTGTCCTGTTTTCTTAATGGCCAAGTTAATGCGCCGTATAGCAGAACTGACCGAACTGCCGCGGCATACACTCGACCCTTCATAGAAAACCGTAAGTGTTGACGGCACCACAGATGTCTCAAGTTGGCAAATGCCAATCGAGCTTTCTGTATGCGAGCAGACACTTCATCCGTGGTGCGTCCACCGGGTGAAATGTAGCTACCCAAATAACAAAACTTATCCACCGGCTCTATTACTTCTCCAGTTAGAGTGGGACTGGGTGCTGGATCAACCCAGTCTTGTAGTAACATTTTACACTTTGAAGGTGCAAAACCTTGTAGTAACATTTTACACTTTGAAGGTGCAAAACGCATACTGAACATCGCTACGCTGGCGCACAAGCTATTCAGAGGAGCTTGCAACTTACCTGCATCTTCTCTATGCAGCAGAATAACGTCTAAATACTCCAGATTAGATATTCTGCCACCTAGGAGTAAATCGATGCCTTTATTCTCGCACGAGGATAGGGCTGTTTCCATAATGAAATGTACAACAAAGTTGAATAGAAACGGAGAGAGAGGGCAACCCTGACGAACACCCCTTTCCGTGGTGAAATCATGCGAAAAATACCGTAAGCCCGAACTCAACTTCAGCTATTGGTATAAAGGGATCGTGATATTGAAATATACTTCTCCGGCACATCCTTCAGGGAAAGGCAGCGCCGGAGTTTAGAGCGGTCGACTGAGTCAAAAGCTGCTTTCAAATCGAGGAAAAACAGAGATAGTGGATCTATGAAAGGAATATCGATGCTTCGGAATTTGGCGAAGAGTGAAGATGTGGTCGATACAACCTCGACCGGGTCTAAAACCAGCCTGTTTCTCGNGTGTGCACTCTTCACGTGCGGCAAACAACCGGCGGAGTATGATACCAGCGAGAAGTTTAGAGATGCTGTCGATTAAATTAATTCCTCTGTGGTTTTCACAGGAGGACCTGTCGCCTTTCTTGTAAATCGGTATGATTACCGATTCACACCATTCAGTGGGAACCTGTTCCGTCTCCCACACAACCCAGGAGTTTGGTCAACTCCAAGACTAACGTTGACCCTCCATCCCTAACCGCTGATGGGAACAGCCCATCTGGGCTAGAAGCCTTATGCCTTTTCAGATAACTTATTTCTCGGGAAACCTCCATTTCAGATGAAGGACTGGCATCCACTGGGAGTATTTGCCCAGTTGATGTGGGAATTGATAGGTCAGCTGTCGATGGGGGCCAGTTGGACTGATCCTTGAAGTGTGCAGCCCATCAATCAGGACGGCGTTACTGATGACGAATCAGTGTGCCGTCGGATTCCTTGATTATCTCACTTACGCCTATATTCCTGGGGCCCGTATTCCTAATAAGACAGGAAATTTTGCGACTATTACCGACAACTTCAGCTTTCTCCATCTTCTTACACTTTCCTACCAACCGGACATTCCTCAGACTCGTGATGAGCTGGCGTTTAAGGGATTTGCACGCTGTCATATGCGGCATCCGGAGGCAGGATTCTGCGGGCGTCCAGCAGGGCAGCCGAGGTCGACGAGATCCATTGGTCGTGTTTTGAACCTGCGCCAGGGTCGGACTTTGTTTTCAATGATATTTTCATAGCTTCCTTGATTTGCTCGCAATGTTCATTGAGTTCTCCGACTGGTGGTTTAACTAACAGNAGGCCGTTTCGGAGCCATCGCGGACGCTGTATCTTGGTTATGCTTTGTCGGTGGCTGTTCTGCGGTTGTTTACTGGGCGTAGGGAGAATTTCGCTTGTAACAAGGCGTGGTCTGTATCCACAGCTGTTGACCAGTAAAAGCGGCAAGCTTGAATTGATCCACTTCAGCGGTAACTGATGGCGATGTGGTCGATCTGGGTTCGTCTAGGGATCCCACTTGAGCATTGAAGTCTCCGGCGACTACTACGACGTCCGTTGATTGAACACTTTGGAGTAATTGAGGAAGATCTTTGTAGAATCCATCCTTGATTTAAGGTGTGTTGCAATCGGTCCGTGCATACATCGATACGACAAACAAGCATGGACGCTTCATTCTGTAGCTGTTGACCCGTTGAGACGTACAGCGCATAGTCGGCTACTGACTGGAATCTAATCAAGAAACGAGCGCTCTGCACTGGCACTTAGCGCAACCCCAACACCATCGAAATCGAGTTTTGGATGCCGAATCACCTGACACACGAAGGGTGAGTTTGGATCAGAAGAATAGCGGGAGATGATAGAAGTAGGGTCTTGTATGCGTGTTTCGCAGACGCAACATACATCTAAATTGAAAGTTTTGAGGGTTCTGGCTAAGGCAGCTTTTCGACCGATCTAATAGAATGTGCGGACATTGAACGCGGCTAAGTGAAAAGGGGATTCGGGCTTTGTAAATCCTATAACTTCTGATTGCGAACGGGACAGCACCTTATTGACTGGGAACTGCCCAGCTTGGGCGGGTGGGAGCTGTCCACTGAAGTGCGAAGACCTCTTCCACTGTCGAGAGGAAGCCGCAGGTAGCCCGCTCCTACGTACAGCTAGCGGTTTTTTGATCGGTAAACTGTCCCTCACCGTGTTTATTTGCTGGAGTGACCTCTGCAGGAACGGATGTAAATAGGAGGAAGCCAGGATGTGCCCAAGCAGGCTTTGTGAGACTGCGCTTTCTCTGGCCTCTACCCGTTGACTTTTCAGGCATGATTGTACCTTCGGTTGTTAAAAGCCATCCTGCATAGCTCGCAAGCCATCACATCACGCAGTCTCGTCGTGATGTGGGTGTAGTTCGTAAGCCTCTTCTTGGTCGGTTGGGAACCGATGGTTTCTAGCCAAATCCCCTAGGTGAACTACCAGTGGTTCAATAACCCGGATTTTGGCTTTTCATCCTCCCACTTTGGTGGGAGAACACCTCTGCCACGGGAAGGCAGTGAGTAGGGCTTCATCAGCAGAAACGTAAGTGTTTTCGATTTGATGCCATGATTTACGTAGATTTTGAGCCGGTCACTGTTGACAGATCTTTCTAGACAATCTGTCTGATGTGCTTGTTACCCACACGGACAATGAGCCAGTTATCAAAACACACAAATCCGTAAGTATGAGCAACAAGTGTGATTTTGTATTCAAGACTGCCTGTCTGCAGCTCGATCGTCGATCTGTTAGCGTCTAAATTTTTTAGGAAATCTTGTTAGAACTGCGTTGTATATCACATGCAAACACTCAATCAAAGGTTGAGTGATCTCTATCGACCATGTGAACTGCGTGGGATAAAAGTCAAATGTACCCAGTTCGAACGGAATGCGACAGGCACCAAGTGCCCCGGATTCATGTTGCCAGTCGACTACGCCCGGTGAATTGAGACGCGGTGAAAGAGAGAAAAAAAAATGCGAGAAACGCGTTCAAGGGGAACTCAAATCGGGTTTTTGTCATTCAGGAGACCATGATAAAAATGACAAAGGAACAGTCAAAACCGAGAAAAGAACGACTGACAAACAAGAAGAAAACGAGCATAAGTCAAAGAGGGCAAATATTAAGGGGTGGGGTGGGGGAATGAGCAGCAAGAATTGGAGAGATGAACGGATTTGTCACTGAATTAGACTAGGTGCACAATTGCGTTGATGTCACATTTATATGCGAATAAACGGAGTGCGGGATCTAGCCAAATCTGTTCAGAACCACTGGTACCGGAATCGCATTCCTTGTCAGAGCGAACAAATGCAAGGCAAACCGGTGTGGATGTCATAGTTTTCTACAGGTGATGTACAGAGCGTACAACAGTTTAGCAAGGACGAGTGAAAAACGTGCTTAACAAGAACAGATCACGATCGTTTCTGAAGAACACATGTCACTTAGTTCCTCTCCTTCCCGGTCGTAACTCTTCAGGAGTTAGAACGAAAACAAGCAAATATATGTGGAGCAGAGCGGAGAGGACATAGCTGGGTTGGCGAGATGAAAAATGAAGTTAAAATGACGCAAACGTGTGTTCACCGGACCGGGCGCGACAGAATCCACGGCGACGAATAAGCGTCATGTTCACTGTATCACTGCACGCTACAGTCCACTGAAAGAAACCCGTCCGATCGGATCGGCTTGATGGACTGGAGCAAATAGGACACGGCACGGACCATATACGACATCGTTCCGTAACGTCCAGCAGGAGGTGTGTCGTAGAAATGTTGACAAATATTATGCAAACCGTGACATAGTAATGCCCCTGGTTTACGGACATTTTGTGCCTGAGCGACCGTGGTAATATTCTGTTCTTTCATCACTTTGGCACAACACAAGGTTGCGTTNATTTGACCTAAGATACGAGAGAAATGGAAAAGGAGACGGAATTAGGGGCAGCTAGTACGTATAGTTGAACATATCACTTAACTAAAGAATATCGGGTTTTCGAAGAAAAATAGGTTATGCAGTATTAAACTGTTTGGCTGCTACGATGAAACAGGACAGGAAGAATGTCAGACTTGCTACGCACTCACAGCCAGGTTGTGACTTGTTTTTCTCTCTCTCTTTAATTGGTCAACATGCAACAATTACTTGATGAACTGTAGGAAAATCCCATGCAGATATGTTGAAAATCTCACTTTCAGCAACACCACTTTCTTCGTCAACATCACTTTTATGCAATATTGCCGAACTATATGGACAATAAAGTGAATAAAGTGCATTTTGTGCTCGTGAATAGTGGAGCATTACGAGCACAAACTAATACCGAACAGAGGAGAAAAACCTAACAAGGCAGTAGATAGCTTGGGTATTCCGAAAGTAGGGAAAAAATATGTACCGGGTCTTGGTGGATATGACGTTCACGAATTTGTGAAACACGTGCCACAATTTATCCGTGGACTAAGGGAGAGCTTTCGTGAATTTATCACTGCTATAAGACTCAGCACGACAGAAAATCACCAACTGCGATTGATAAACTTCATTCTCGACAAGCCGGTTACAGGTTGTCCAAGAAAATGTTTGCTTTAACTTAGCTGAGCAGTGTTTCAATCTACATTAAGAGGAAAATAATAAGTTTTTCAATCATTACTTCGATTAGGAGTACACTTCAGTGTGAAATTGGCGAGGCGACACACTGATAAAAAATCAAACGAATACCATAATGCCGTCCAAACACACTATTAGCATTCACCTACGCCCTACTAGCCAAGAGTGCCCAACTTGGGACGTCTCGTTCGCCATTGTATCATGGTTCTACAAGCCGGATAGGAAATTTGTTGAAACTGTCATGGCGGTCAGACGGACTACAACGGCTTTATGTTCAACCCGAAGAGACACTTATTGTGTTCCGAGTGCAGGCAAAACTGCGGCAGATAATAGCTTACATGATCTAACAGGAACAACACATTCGCCGTGTCCACAATCTCGTCCACCTTGAGTATGCAATCCAACTGGACACGCTTCTCCACATCGTGCATCATCAGGGTGCCCAGAACATGGGTGGCTTCGATTAGCAACTGACGATACTCGGGCAAGGAGACCATGGTGATGACCCGTTCCACAGCCAGGGCGAATTTGTGCTCTTCCATGGTCATCTGATGTGAAAAATGGGCGGGGAAGGTCAAAATCTTCGTAACTGGAACAGATAGGATTTTTCCATCATAGTTCGACAAACGATAATTCATTTATTCAAATGGAAAGTAACAAAAGACAACAGCTTTTGTGTGCAGTTTGCTCCGGCTCGTACCTGAATTCCTAGCATCGAAGAGCCAATCATTTAAAAGATTGTTATACACGGACAGCACAATTCAGATTAAGACTGGATTGAAAGAAATGAGCCAAGAAAACAAACGATAATATCCATTTCGTGTTAAGAAAACTGCAGAATCAAGCTGAGCCAATACGCATAAACTGCCGTCTAGAAACCCACAATTCATCCGGGCTCCTAACTGGTAAATCAATCACACTGTAAACTTGAGAGATTGTGGGTGCAGATCGAAAGCAATCATAGCTATCGAATGATGATCGTAATCGAACACAAGGCAATACGAAATGCACCAGTCAGTGCATTGTTCACTATAACCATGAGCTTGAAGCGAATTCCTCATCTTCCTCCAGTTTAGTGTAAAGTCAAGAGTGTTGTAAAGTGATTCCAGGGGAGAGTAGCAACTTCGACGTATTTAGAGGCCGATTGCTACGGACCTGATCATAATCAAATACCCAACTTCTCCACTGTTCAGACGAGTAAACCATAAACTTGGAATTGACGAAAGATACCTGAGATGCCGAGAAGTGCGTGCATTTTTTTGCAGGTTGAAATGTTAGTCCACAGGTAAATGTCAGTCCAGGTCGCATCAGCACCTGATTTAATGCCCACTGTAAATCGAAAGTGCGCGTTCGTTGGCACAAACACAAGCGCAGTACAATTTATCTGTCTGGTAACCCAAAATTGTGCTCGATGAAACGAGAAGTAAAATGATGAGCAAAAAGAAAATGGACGCACACAAACCCAAGTGTGCACGTGGACTGATTTAGGAAGAAAGTGCGGTTGAACCGAAACGGGGCAGATAAACGAACAGACAGCGCGAAAGAAACAGTGGGAGAGAGACGAAAGTGGGAAACAGTGCGATCGAATTCCGCCGAATAGGTGGCACGAGAATTCATAACTCTAGTACATGGCCTATATTTAGACTATGCAATTCAACGACGGATCGATGACTTGTACGCACAGCGTGACTTCAGGACAATAAAAAACAGATTATCCAGAATGGAGCAGTGAAGGGCAAGTGATTACAAAACGTGACATATGCACCAATCGGAAGGTGAACGTGGAGCGAATCGCGCACCGCGATTCCAGCCACAATATCGTTGGTCGATCATTCGGTATCGAACGTTTATGGTTCCCACGAATAAAATAAAGATATATTGGATAAACAACCTATCGGTCCATAGCAAATGATGACCGAATAAATTTCTTATAGCTTTCAACTATTAATACCTGCCTCAACCAAACCATCCATCATATATATATATATATATTCACATACTATGTATTATGAAATATTCTATAAAGGCGATCAAGTCACGTTGGTTGCGAGTAGTAGCATCTAACCCAACTACAAAACGTCGAACTACAACATTAATTCTTCAACGGACTGGCTCTGAAAGAACTGCCTATCCAAAAGTCACCCGGTGTATCAAACAATGATATTGTGATGAAAATACACTTCCTGGGTACATATATATGAATGAACTGAAAAAGGATTATCGGATACGCATGCCTGACGAGCGACAAGAACCACGATACCGGTCGTGTGCTTCCAGGGAAACTTTGTTCAGTCTTTCACATACTAATTATTATTGTAGGATACGTAGCCAGGCGGTGGCGGCAAAAACCGTGGAATTGTCCAATGCTTCGAGAAGAAAAGGTTTCTCCGGCACTACTTACTGTCGGTATCTGTTTTCTACGACTACATTTTTACGGTGACACTATCGGCAATCAACTTTGACGGGATGAGGACACATGGAATTGCGAATTGAATTTGTTGAAAAGAAGATTCTGCTCCTCAAGATAAAAAGAATATACACATAAAACTGCCAAGTCGGAGACTTCATATCTCAACTGACCCATGTTGTATAAACCGTTATGAACTTGGAAGTCACCGACATAACTACCGGAGTCGTACCTATGCCTCTGCATTTACTTATTCAGAGTTCGTTTGGATGCGATTTGAACTTCATGCTTACCCTGCGTAGAATTATGTCACAACTCTGGTTAGGCTCCGCTGTGATCAGCTTGAAACTTACCACGACAGGCCGCATCTCATTGGTATTGCGACTAGATGAACGCTATTTAACGGATCATCGCTATAAAAGGTCGTCCGGATCTGCGCTCTACTAAGTTAGCCATTATCGGCCATTGCGTCTAGTGCAGAGTCGTCACAGATCAGATGGATCGTACGACATAACAGAATTAGGGACCAGAATGTTGTGTCATATAACGGCTTGGCGACGAACATTTTGTGACAACAAAATCGAATCGTTCGCCGCCCAAACTTTGTGATCAGAGGAAGAACGGGTAGTTAGATGGAGTAGATATAATCTATTTGTTACGTGAAACACTATATCCCCCCTTTACCGAAAATCAGAATGAGAACAAATATTTTCTTCTTTTCATTTCCGCTTCCTTCTTATTGAATATACAAAGACGTGCACTTCGCTCACTGTTAGCAAGTACTGAAGTAAAACATTTCACATATACACGGTGAGAGAAACAGTGACAAAAAATGCTCTATTTCTCTATTGCGATGCACGGGGTAGATAAATGGCAATAATTGCCTCTGTGCACAGCGAGTGGAAGAGATGTTTCGGAGTCAATGGAAATGGCTTCGTTTTATACTGACAGCTTCGCATTCCAGCTATCTAGTCGTATTCGAAATAACCGGGTCATGTTTACTGGACGATCTGTTGCAAGGATACGCTTCGCCACCACCGATGCCCGGGGGCAAGTTTTGGTTACAGTGTGAATCTGGGATCATTTCGGAGTACGAGACTGAAAATAACTATTGTGTTGTGCTGTGATGAAAAAATGTCTACTGTCAACAGACAAGACTGGTTGGCACATCGTATTAACCAATTTATTCAGAGAAAACGGACACGTGAACCGGTCAACAAGAGCGTTGTGCATGGATTTACTGAGACAGGCAGTGAATGTTTTTCATCGTGGTCGGACCAAATGACGTGATCACATCATACATTATGTGGATAACAAACAGAATAATGACAGGATCATCCCGGTTTACGTGCGTCATACGACCTGATGGACACGGATCTGATAATACCTGTATTAACAGCACATGTGATTAAATAAGGAGCTTCATATAAACAAAATACACAAACGCGCAACATATACCTGATAATCCCTAAGCACAGAATGTGAAAGTTCAGCGAGCATGGTGTGGAAGAAGACTAAATGCAAAAGTCTCCCATAAATCTATAAGAGTATTGAGTTGAACGAAGATCACTCACCTCTCTGGTTAAACTGCTACACAAGATATGCCCGCATATTTCCAAACCACCAACTCGACTAAGCACAATGTAGACTCTCTCGTAGAACCCGGGTGGGACACGATTGAGGGCGCCATCAATTTTGCGTCGACGACTCCACAGGTTACGCATTTCCATACCTCGCAACTCTCTAGCCTCCTCACCCAAGGAAACACCGGCTAATGAAGGCAGGCGAGAGATCGATCGCGGGTGCAAAGACATTCGTCGAGCTGAGGCTGAAGCGACTGCTTTCAATTGTTCTCCTTTAGCCGTGAGCTAATCAAATGCAACGGATCAAGGCAAATTGGTTCAGATGTGGAAGAATAGTGCAACTGGTTCATAGTCGAGGTGAAAACCTGCGCATCGTGAACGGCTAAAGCCGATCAAGTATACACCCAATGAAGTTCTCTTCAGGCTCGAAGTGCACATACAATATGCGTAAGATCAAATTTGTCTTGGTCATCCTTCTATAGTAAGCAATTAAAAGACAGACAGATGTTCATTTTATAATTCTTAGTCCCACAAACGCGAATTCAAGAATAATCATTTCCTGCCAGAATGACAAACCTGATTGTGCTTTCAAGGCAGCAGATGACTAGTTTTATTCTCTCCCATACACGTTCTTCCGAAGTGGATGCCATGCGAATCAAAGAAAGTCGATGACAATGCGGCAGCATTTCAAAAGTACTGTGTGGAAATGACTGAGCACACAACAAAAGTTCTCTTCAAAAAGGATAACAATAATTTTGCTTCCACCGTAGGTGAAACCGGATAGTTTCTGGTGATCAATCTGCAAATCAGTGCACTTTATTTCGAACACACTGATCGACGATTCCATTTTCCGAAGGGTAGGACCACCTGCACACAGCGTCCGTGAATGACAAAAAAAGTGACGCAAACTTTCGCAATAGTTTTACACTGTCGTATACATATGTATACGTTTCTATTTCACAATAAACCTCTCACACATCCCATGAAATGTGTGATCAGAAAAGTATACATAATATCAAAGTCTGACACGCAACGAACGAAAACCACGAAGACGCGAATACAGCTTACCACGGTCGACTTTCGGCGAACAGGTGCCCGAGCTACAAATGCAAGGAAAACAAAACGGAACCGAGGACAAACCGCTCGTTAGAACGTAAGATGAAAATATCATCAACAGCGCAGAGATGTGTCTGAGTGAAATCACGCGGTGACCAAGACGAGAGAGAGAGAGTACAGACAAAACTCCATGCAAACAGAGCAGAAAAAGGGGGGAAAAAACCACAGACAGGAGCGTACAGAGCGAGAAAAGATAGTACCGGTCGCAGCAAAAGCCTATTTCCAAGGCTTCAGTGGCACATACAGGGTGGATGACTTGTTATTCTACTATCTACCCGATATACGCAAAGTTTAAATTTACCTAATCATTCAGATCGACAGTATTATAGCAACCATGTACGCAAATATATATGTATGAGTCGGAGAGGTAGGTGGGTGGGACATCGACGAATGCCTCATCTTACGTTAGATTTCAATTCGACCGAATTCTTCATGCATATAATTCAGCTTCATTGAAAACTTACAAACTCAAGTTTTGGACTACTTGTGTGGGCTTTCAATAGATGGTGCGGTCCCGCTCTATGTGACTATTCATATGATGCATCTCCGAAAAGACAGTGTGACCTCAACTGACCGAGCATCTATCATGCATCACAACGCTATCAACCGATAGTTTTCTATTTTTATCGTTAGAGCCTCAGTTACCAAGTGCAGATGAGGCGCTCAGTATCAATGACAGTCGACTCAGAGGGACCATGATTAACCATTAAAATGGTCATTGCTCTCAACTTGTCAATTGCCTTCAGCAATTCAGTATACTTCTCCGAGGCAAAACCACGCGTGTGAAATGAGCACAATTGCTTCGCTTTAGTGCAAGATGATGAGCCAACTTCGTTAGCGTCACGAGCCATAGTTGCCCAGTTGCGGGAATCCAAATCCTGTGGTCGAGCTAACGAATTTCAGTTCCAGTGGCGGATTTCGTGAACAAACAAGTTAAGCACAGAACACACGAATACAATAACAAAACAAAAACACTTTGTCGTTGTCCCATTTGACGAAGACTGTTGGCATTCGATTATCTTTAGGGATACATTCGACTGGACGGAGAGCGTTGAAGTAGGGCTCACACTTAGGATGAAAACACTGAGTTATCGTATCTTATGTCCAATAGACAGATTTCGATACAAGAACAGCACTCAAGAAGGACAGATATAATCACCGAGTTCGACAAAAACAGACGTATTGAAGACACTGAGGCATATAGTCGTAAACCAACGGTACTGGATTCTTTGTTGTAATTTTCTGTCGCACCATAGATATTGGGTTTCTCTCTTTCCCCTACTTCCAGATCTAATCGCGCCTTTGGAGGAGAGGAACCATACAGCGTACATAGTCCAGCCGTGTATGTACACCTTTGCAAGCTCGCTGTCCTGACAAGTCACAACAACAAAGCCTTTGTTGTTAGTTCACTGCTATATCCTTTAATCTATTCAACCAACAAGTGACGACGTACTCTGTATCCTAACCTGAAAGGCGGTGGGCACCTACTATACCTAATATCTCTGTGTGAATTCCTTTATGTCTAGACTTCGACCGAAATGTAATTCTCTCAACAAGGCGCGGTACGGCAGACACGCGCATTGTAAGCCCTTAGTGGGGAAGCCTGCTGTTCTGAATTTGGTGAGAGGAACAACTGAAAGACAAAAGGCTTCCAAATACCCATCATGGTTACCTTGGTGTCAAGTAAATGCTCGCTACATCCTAGATATACGGACCTACGTAAACAGGGGAGCTGTCGAAAACCTCTAGTTGATGGACAATTTATGCACACAAACTGCAATCTTGCAACCGCTAAGCAGAACTGAGGCAAGGTGGCGAAATGTGAGGAACATTTCAATTTTAGGGAAACGTCACGTTTATTTTCAGAGGTGTTCCACAGCCCGGCACATGTACATACATACCGAAAGGAACGACAGAAATTGTGGGTCTATCAGATGTTTTGTGAATTCTCCATAAATTAGAATAGATCGAAAATGTCGTAAGCGTACTCAAAATTGCACAGCTTTCCTTCAAATACCTATTAGATGTCAACAATTTGGAGACAGCTTAGAGCATTCTCCAATATTTGATCCACGACGAAATCAAACATGAATCATGAAATAAGACATTTTAACTAACACCACAGCGGGTTTCTAACGCTCACCGGAGACCCATACTCCACCTGAAGTGTAAAGGAAGAGCAACCTCAATGAGTCAAAATTATCTGGAGCAGTCTTCTGCGAAGAACGGGGCAAAAGGGAGCCTAACGATCAAGCCAATCAATAGCTCCTTTAAGACAAGGAACATTGTGGTTGATGGTCGACGTTGAGTGTGGTATACTTCGAACAATTAATGCAATGTGAAGATTTGATTAATATAACCGAAACCTAATAGAAATCCTGCTCCCTGTCCGCTGATGTTGGCTTCTTCCAGAGGCATCAAGCGGCCAAGTATTCCGAAGAAAAACACTTCCACGACCATCGGAAATAAAATTATTTCACAGCGGCTTTGGCAGTCATTACAAGACCCCTTTTTGAAAAACTATCAGCGATTCACATCAGAATGAAAGGCTAAGCTTTTCCGACCAGAGGTGATGCAACGAAACAGTGATAGCGCCTACAAGAGTTACCTTCCACTTTGAAAAGAATGGGGGCAAGGATGGTAGCTCTTTCAAGTCCTGTTGCCACCCATCCTTTCAGCGCCAGATAATAAGTTTGTACTTCTGTTGCTGAACAACACATGGCATCAAATGGACAGCAGTGGCGAATTTGCTGTCACTTGTTACCAGACCAGAATAGTTGAACTGGTATGTATGCACAGTTGGACTGTGTACTCTGTGTGTTGACCATAGAGGTTCGTTTTCTTTTCCCGTCCCTGTGCATAGGCCCTATCCTTATTATCCTTACACATTGCCACTCGCCTTGTATGCATAATGAGTTTGGCAGCGATCGGTGAAGTTCGCTTCACTGTATTATGCTGTACAATGATGCTGATAATTCTAAGAAGAACCTAACCTCAAGGTACCGAGTAAGGCAAAACGAAGACCCGTCTACTTGGATCATTTATTGTCATATCATTTTGACCGTCTGAAGTATCAACCTGAGGCGAATCCCCCAACCGGGAGGTTTATGAGACTGGGCCCCATCTGGCCCTCCAGATATGAATGGAACTTGTGGTTTCACAAAAGCCGTCCAATGTAGCTCGTTGGGTGATAGAAGTGCATAAGTGAACACACCACATCAAGGTGCAGTATCTTTATGATGGGATGTATTGTAGAACTATGGAAAGACTCACACAAGTAGAACGAGAGATCCACGACACTATAGGAGTCTTCTCACTCCGTTCGACAGAGTACGAACTGCATTTTCATCAATAATGAGGCACTCAAGATTATCCGCAATTCAACTATACCCTATCTTGCTCGTGTACTCGTAAACAAAGAGCGAACAATAAGTCAACTTTGTCTTGACATTGGGTCATAAAATATCCTTAGGTCTGTGAAAATTTTTTCATTGTTTGTTATGTACATTGTGACGGTTAGCGTGTATGATTTTTTAACGGAAATGTGAGCTCAAGTGCTTGCAAGAGTTATACACAATACAATCCTTCGCTTCTCTCCTGTCCCACCAACCTACTGGTCTCCCTTGATGTGAACGACAGGTTTGGAACAAAACAGAGGATGGAAAACCTAAATGTAAGCTTCAGTGTTTGCAAAAGTTAGACACCACGCAAAGATAACAAGCCTATGATTCTTGTAGTTTCACCGATTCCGAGGAAGCGATTGCAAGGGATGTACATAGACATTACGAACCATTAATTGACTGTTAAAAATCGATACGCATCCGTTAAGGGATTTTTTCAGCAACAAACATCAAATATTATTGTGAACTACAAAAAAGAGCACATTTCACTTCAGAGCATTAATTGAAAAGTACATTCATAGTGAGAAACGGACGAAAGAGATCATAAATGGAGAAATGTTCAAATCACATGATCACCAGTTGACTGAACACCAACAGAAAGGGTGGCATATAACCAACACTTTCGCAGTGAAGATCAAATGCTTTTGCCCTTCTGTAAACAAGACCTTTGACACGAAATGGCGACTTGCTTGTGAACACGTACGAGACAGACAGGCAAACACACAAACACGGGCATTTCGACAAAGATGCGCACGATCAGGCTGGAAACACATAAGTCAGAAAGAAGAAAGAAACAATAATGCTTAGTTCCCAATCCCACCAAAAGTATGAAATTGGGAATCTGACTTCATGCATCATGAAAAACGTGAGACGCGAGTAACAAGGATAGTTAGAATGTCGAAGTGCGCAGAACTCAGTCCTAAAATAGAGTTAGCATGATAACCAGTCAGATAGTGCTTCTCAAATTGATGAAGCCAGATCGATTCCGGATTGAATCACAACTGCGATTTGGCTATCTCGAAAAGCCAAGAATAACAGATACAGTGATCATGGGGAATGGTGAGGACAGAAGTGCACACAGTAGTTAAAGAGCGTTGTTGGCGCAAGTAATTGTGCTCGGAATGATCGCGTCTAATCGATCAAAAGAGAGGCGCAGCTCTGCGTGTATGTGCGTGCGAGTGTGCTAGCAAGAAATCGAGCGAAAAACCGGAAAAGCACGGCTGAGCTGAACACAGAAATAGACCTAGAAGGACGAGAAATGTGGCCTCGATCAAATCACGAGTACACACACACACACACACACGCACAAACATACATTCAATGACATAAATCCGAGACGACAGTGATAACATCGATGCAGTTGGGAGAATGCCAAGATCCGGGGTTCACTTACGCGTCCGTGCAACGACATACTCGTACTCAGAATCACCGGTCGCACCTAGTGGTTCTTTGGTGTGTCAATGTGACACATCAAATCCGATCACATGTGAGAGTGAAGTGAATGAACGGAATCGATTGAACGATTAGGTAATTTAGACGAATAATGAAGTGTACCGTCACGAGAATGTACAGCTTTTTGTTTGTTTGATTAACAGAAACTATAAAACTTCTCATTAGTTGAAAAACAAGCAGCTCAACGAAATGCATGCAATCGATCAATGAATTAATCCACACTCGTCGAAACAGAAATCGGAGACTGGTGCAGTTGATAAGCAAGACCAGTAGGGAGGGACTGTACGTGGTAGGTAGTCGGGTGCTTCTGCGAGAAATAAACAATTACTCTCATCATTTGTGATGGAGTTCGTTTCAGAAACTGAACTGCCTTAATTCAGGCAACCAATGGACCGTAGTACAGGCAGCGAAGCTCCAAAATCAAGGTAATCAGCTTAAACATCTCTCTGACACACGGGAACTGACGACAAACGAAATGGAAACCAAGTGAATTCAACGAGAATGAGGGTATTGAAATAACCAAAAGCGAAAACTAATATCATGAACAACTCGTAATTTCTAAATTGTAGATGACGAGAGTTGTATTTTCTCTGTAATTTGCTTCCTTTTATTGAATACACAACGAAAGAATTATCAGGAAGGGGAAGCGGCCAATCAATGGGCTGCCATGGGAAAAGTCAGGTGGTGATGGTGGGGTTCGAACACACGTCTCCTGAGCTGGTATTTTGGTGACGTTACCCCGGGCCACCACCGCCCAAGGTATGGGCGTAGTCTGCTTTACTGTCCTTTACAGAACCCCTCAATAACAGCCAAAATTTGATCCAGTAAGCATAGGTGAAACGAGAAATAAGACGAAGAACTAGAGAACGAATAAAAAATTACGGATGGTTGTTAGGCATACTTTCCGCCTGGGGCGTGTTCCCGATGATGCTCAAATCCTGCAGCTTTGATGGTATCGAGGGGTTCTACCACCCGGCTAGACAACAAGCCTATCCCTACTGGGACGTCAAGTGGTCCACCGATGCAATTCGTAAAACAACTGGTCTTCATGACCATGCAGGTTAGCCCTTCTACAGTTGATCGCATCACAGTGTGTACTAAAAACAAACTGCCACCTCGGATGCAAGATACTGCATGAAAACTCGCTTGGGAACAATTGTGCGTTCACAGCTTTGCATGACGCTTGATCTTTATCGAGGATGATAGTGGTTAACCAATTTTCATCGATCCGAATCCGTAGAGCGGGTTGTGCAATTATTACTTGCACGCTACGAGTCGGATAATTCATGATGGTTTCGGGTATTTATATGGGTCCATACTGTATTCTCTGGAATAAGGATACGGTGCTTGGTGGTGGTTCTAACTAGTGGTTACAGTGGGTTAGTTCCGCTTTGAAACGGTTCAATGGACAGGTTTTTATAACGACCAGCCACACAAACAATGAAAACACACTGTTGGGACAGCAAACCGAAGCATGGCGGATGTAATACAGACTCCAATCTATCTTAAGTAAATAGTATCAGGAAAGGAAAGATAGACGAAGACGAATTAACTCACTTGTTTTCACCATTCGGATCTCTTCACCGCTAAGCAAGTTCTGCAACAATCGTTTCATGTCGAATGGGCTCATCGAGAATAACACGTACAGTGAATCCTCAGCCGTCAGACACATGGTTCGAGCCAATTCGGTACCCATCATTTGAATGATGAGCCCGATACGTAGGCGCAATATATTAGCCAATTGTTGCGGTTTGGTACGAGCCAACATGGACAGATATATGAGAATTTCCTGTGAAAAGAGAAATTGAATAAAACGCACCATTCACTTTTGAAAGAGGACGAAACACATGTAAGCATTTAAGCAAAGCCGCGCGCAACCGAGTGCGTTCCCACGTCGCAACCAAGAGATCGATTGACAATCCGGTGGTTATTCACGGATGAGGTGACTTCTAGGCTCACTAACTGGGCGGTCGCGGACAATCGACGGCAATGCTTTATAACGATGCGACGATCGCGCCACCGCAACGAACTACGGTGATTGCTCCAAACGCACTTTATCAACCCGTTATAGTCTTTCGAAAAGGTGAACGGACAGAACAATAGGTCACCGGTTCGTCTGTTGCCTTACAAGCCACATTATTCAGATGTACAGAAGCCAAATATGCTATTTCAAACGAAAATTCCCACCGCCTACTTCCTACTGGGCGACCAAATGGTAAAACAGTCCTCAGTGATGCCAACGACGGTTCCGCACTCCACGGCTTATTATCTATGAAGCCTAACTTCACTCCAACAGGGAAACAGCCAAGTAAAACTAAGGCTAAGTCTGGTGAATGATGTGATTGCATTTTTACCACTATTACCCATATAATTACATGCGTGGAATTTGGGTGCTACTTTTTGGTTGCCCAGTTGGATGAGGCAATAAAGCGATGATTGCAATGTTCAAATCGGTTTCAGAGTGAAAATACAGAATTCATATAGAATAAGGTTGTAAAGACATTGAGTACATACACAACTGCCACTATTTCCTATACTTGGTCACATAGCTCATTATCTTTAACCCTCGTTTACGCTTGTTCCACGGTCCACATTCGGATGCCTAAGGCGACTTATGTGAGCAGGTCTCCTGATCAGGTCTTTACATCCTCGTGCCAGGCTTTAGTTGGACCACCTTTTACCTTTTGCCACCCATCGCCTGCCTCAGCGAGTAACACACACCGTAGCAATCTATTTGGTGACATGCGTAACACACGTCCCAAAACTAACGGAGGCAGATCAATTGCTCCACTGTGCGACCGCGACCACCGAAAACCCTGGGCCTAACCTCGGCATTAATCGTCCGGTTACCAAGCCTGACTCGTGAAATGCTGCACAGATAGCGGTGTCATCAACATCATCGTACAAAGAAATACAGAGAAGTGAACTTCACTGATCGCTGCCGAACTCGCAATGCATATGCACTGGGGTTTGATGGACAGGTACTGCTGGGGTGTTCAGCCACTAAGCAGGAGGACGATCAGGGTTCTCAACCAAAGCCTTTAGTTCTGACAAGAACCTAACCGAAAGTCAGCGGGTGAAGCGCAGTGGAGGCCCATTTACTTCGATTGATTACTCTTCAACTATGGCGATATCATCAGCATACTTAAAATGTCGAACAGAGGGACTAATGGGTAGGTCACTGATATAAGTCGAAAAACGATAGGATGATAGGACAGCACTTTGAAGTACATCCGAACTGTTGGGTGATGCGGTTGATTGTCTTTTTCCCAATTTAACATACTGATTTCTTTGTGAAAAGTAAGCAGCAAGCCATTCAAGAAGAAAAGCGGGACAGCCAAAAGATTAAAGTTTGTTTAGTAAAAGAAGACGGGGCATCGGGTCGAAAGCGGAAGAATAGTCCAGAAATGCAGAATGCACATATTTGGCTTTTTCGTCAAGGGACGTCATTCTGTGAATACTGAAAAATACTGCGGACTTGCCGCACCAGTTGGAATTGATGAAAGTGATCACACCGTCTCCCAGCTTCTTCCTACACCGTTGTCTATTCTGTCTGAAGCAGAAGAAATTTTCCAGTTGGACCACGGACTCATCCACATCCTCCTTGAGCCATGACTCCTGAAGACACAAGAGGTGAGAAATTCCTTTCGCTGGAACAGGTAGGATAAGTCCGGAAGCTTCCCAAACACAGACCGGATATTGCTACACTCACAATGGTAGATACAGTCATCTTGTTGGGAGTAGTAAGATCAAGGGCAGAATTCGGTTTCCACGTTTGCAGTATTTGTGCGTTTGACTAGCAACTGGCACTCCAAACATGGCAATATGGTTTTTCATAACAACTTACTTAATTTTTAACATGAATTCCTTTGTATATATGGTTAAAGCACGCATATGAAGCAATTTGAGTAGATAAATTCCAGAACGTAACGGTAGCGAGAAATTGTGGTGCAGCCGTACAAGGAGCACGCGGTGTAGAAAAAAAAAGATAATGGATACAGATAAAGTTGAGGGGAATGGCCATCACAACTGACAACGTAAACCAACCAACCTGGGTCAGGACATTCATCAGACTGTCCTCCCCACATGCCTTCTGGATCACATCGACAATCTGATCCGGGGGCAGAGGTGCATCGATCACAATTTCCCGAGGCTCTGGAGGCAAACCGACTGTGACTTGTTTCTGCAATACCAGGATATCGGTCAATGCTTTCGCCAACGATCCGGCACGTTTGCCCAACATACCAGCAGTGTAGCGCAGCAAGAACCACGAGGCGGCTTGACTAGCTCGTTCGTACACCTGAACAAAGGAATTCAAGCAGCCCATACAAGAATCAAATGAAGGGAATGATGAACCGTAGTTTGGACGAAAAACCAAAGTGCATCCGATTGCCACATTGGACTCCGCAATACAACTTGACCGAGAAAGAGGACACAATTAGATGCATTGACACGGGGCTGATGCTTTTTGTCGGTGAACAGCGATCTGTGGATACTTCTGATGGCCCTTTCTGTTGAAATCTTTCCTTACAAAAAGACAACCAGAGCTGGAAAGGACCAATCTACTTCAAAATCTCATGCACGATTATGGTCATATGTAAAACAAACATGCCCCAATTAACTAAGTTTATCATTTACTTCCAAAAATTAAAAACACATACTAACGATGTCCGAGCAGCTTATATAAACGTCAATTACGTGTATCGGGCCTAGAGATCCGAGATTCCAACTCTACACAAGCAAATCAAATTTGGTAGTAGGTCGTATTGTTGTCACACGACTCAATACCACGATTGGAACCTTATGTGGTTAACCACTCCAAATCCCAAGACTTAGATTGCTGGTTCTCATTACGGAACACAATATCTTCATAACTATAGGTTTGTCTCTTTCTCTCTATTTCAGTTGTACTTCCGTTCACTAAATATACACAGATAAAATTTTCAGGAAGAGGGAAGCGACCAATCACAGGGCTGCCATACAACAAATGGGGAAAGTCGGACAGTTGTGGTGGGATTCGAACACACGTCCTTCGGGGTAACCCTTGCCACCGGGCCATCACCAACTAATGTACTATTCATCACACTAAGATGCGCATGACACAAAATGAATGAAACGTATCACTTCATGTATGCCAGACCGAGTGGCTTTGAAAGTAAATCAAGAAAATCCGAGTTCCATTATTGAACATAAAGACGGTGAAAATTAAGAGATATGCCATGGTAAGCTCCACATGAAAAGCACTATGTCGAATTTGCCATATCCAGGTTAGCAAGACCATTCGAAATTGACTCTCATAACTATACGCATGATTTCGGATAGACAAATGATGCCAGTTACACCTAATGCCAAAATCGTATTCAGATGTGGGAAAGAGTACCACCGGGTGCTTAGTACGTGGCATTAGCGAGAAACACGCGATGAGCGTGGGAACGATCGACCCACAGCTTAACCGAGATAAGTGAAAGATGCAAAAGCAGTTCAACATTCGTAGCTAAATCATTTGCCAGCTTAAAATGAGGCACAGTACTGATCTTGTTTAATCCCATGACAACATAGACATACAGAGTATGAGTAATGTTGTCACGGTAGTTTGGGTGAAGCCAAATACGTGTGTTGGGCAATTATTTTATCCTTCTTTGAACTAATCAGTACTGTTTCCGTTCCGAGATGGACTTGGCTCGCAAACCCTCGGGTCGAATAATGAAACCCTTACATGGTCGACGACCTCGGTTGGCGGTTCGAATCCCATTGGGGACACAAAAATGGTTTGAATTGCTTATTGACGCGTCCCAGTAGAGACAAAGTGGTTATTCAGTATTTTTCACGACGGTAGCTTCAGAAGAAAATATGAGGACCAGCCATTTACAGACAGAAGACATCGAGGAACTTTGTGAGATGAAAAGTGCTGTGTTATTGAACATCCTCGGTGAACGAGTCAAGGAAGCAGGAATTCGATCTCACTCACAGATCACGTACACAAGTAGATGCTATTAGGTATCACACGTAAATTATCATCATCATCGTGCATCGAAAGACAATAATGCGAGCTGATTGTTGCCAACCTCACAATGTACACAAAGTAACTAATAAAGTACAAGATGGATAGGGATGGAGCCCGACTGGAGGGAGGCAAAGAAAGTGAACCTCTACAGTCAACACACAAAGAGCACCACACAACCGTGCAAACATACCTTTTCAAACATTCTGACCTGATAAGAACGCCGCTGCTGTCCGCTGGTTGTGATATCCTTCAGTGTCTCCAATCGACCAGTTGCAGTCTTTTGGACCACAACCAAGAAGGTAAGAGATACCTCCTCCACCTAATCGCTTTGTATTGTCTCAAGCCTCGTTTGCATGTCATTTGTTGACTTCCACGTGGTTTCCTTTCCTGGAGCCACTTGCAAAAAGGCGCAGTACGTTAGACATACGTACATGCATCGCATTGGCAACCGTCTTTTTACACGAAAATTGTCCTGCCGCAAACTTGTGATGTGTTTCAATACAGACTGTTCTTCTCCAAATCCCCGGTACCATTGGTTTAATGGAAAACATGAAGTGAGGACAACAAAAGCCGACTAAACAAGGTTGTGTTGGTAGTCACCGGTGAACTTGGCCAGTCAATTCACACAAACACATACTCACTTCTTTCAGAAGCGTGCGAACATGTGCCGGTTGGGTCGGATCAATACCCGTATCCCAGTCCAAACCCTGTAGTTGATGCAATCGACCGAGCAATTCCGCCTGTTCGGCCAGGTTGTCGGTGTGTGTAAGTCGTGCGACCAGTTGTTCGGGGGTTAGTGAAGACAACCAGTCCGGGCCAGGGTTGTTTGCACCCGACTGACTGCCACCGGTATCTGAAGGACGGCGACTGTGTGAAGCGGACGAATTGCGACTGCTAGAAACCGCCAGATGTGTAATAGAATCGTACTGTGCGTAGGCGGATCCCGTGGATGGTTGACCGGGTATGGGTGTACTCTGTGCTGGTGGCCCACGGGAGTTGGCCGAATTACTTTCCGGATTGAGCATACGTCTCAGAGCCAGTTTGGATGCGCTACAGGTCAGATCTTCGTTCTCGGGGCGTTGTCTGAGCAGATGTGAAGCGACAGCTGTTGAAGGTATGAAGAACGGGATGATTAACTGGTAATTCACTAACCATAAATCTACCGAGAAACATGCAAATTGACAAACGAGCGGATAGCCAAAATGATTAAAACGTTATTTCCTGTGACAACCGGAGGAGCGCAAACGGACTGGCATTCATCTCGCTCGGTTTGGAAGTACAAGGCAAACAAAGCGAGAGATGAAAAGGGAATTAGAGCATCTTGCTTACTCTGTATGAGCCGAAAGAATAACAAATAGCTTCCGCGAAAGCAAAGCATCAATTACATTCAACTTTTCCGGCTTTTTTACGACCACCTGCCTCTCAGGGAAAACTCGGTTTCTGGGAAATCCAGGAAATCAGCTTTCCATATGCGAGCGATAGGTATCGAAGTAGATGCAGATGACCCCATCGAGGTTCCATAGCCAGACTCCATAGATTAGGCATAGACCTTGAGCGTCCAACATCCAGCTTCGCCGTTTGCCGCTATCGCTCCGATATCGATGAAAGACTAACGCTAATGCGATGTGATATGGTGTTCCTAACACAGTATTTTTAGTCGAGGATGCACCGCTAGTCTTTTCACAGCCAAATGCAAACTATAAGACAGAATGTGAATGTCTCGCGGAAACAATTGTAACCTGTTTGTCGAGCAGCTTATTGGTCAAATATGGTCTTTCTGTTCCCCGTTTGGTCTCCAAATCGGACAAGAGAGGTGGGGATTGTATAACTGAAGACAACGGATGTCCTGGTTTGAAACAAGAAACGATTCTGCATTAAGATACCTTTGCGAGTGTTCGGTGACAGGCAGAGGGAAGAGTAACAAAATACAGGAAAAAACTAGTGGCATCTCAGAAAAAGTGACACCACCAGCACATTGAGAAAAGCACTACACATTGTGGTTAACAAGCGTTCTTTACACGAACAGACTGAATCACTTCTACCAACGCGCAAGGGTGTGTTTGTATAAAATGAACTCACTGTTTGTGTTAAACGGATTAAATCCTATGGAGTAAAAAAATATTAGGGTACAAATGATCACGTTGTAACTAATCCTACTCCATATTGCAAGATGGAACAGCGAGAGGAGAGGGGTAATTGCAGCACTACATGATTCATCCACCTTAGTTTGAACAATCTGGCACTAATGTGTCCAAGAACAAATCATAGACTAATTCCCGTTCCTGAGAGATCCTTCGCTCGTGTTTTGCTAGGCACAGCCTGAAGCAGAACTGCTGCGCAACTTATACCATCGGCGCACCAGTTTCGTTTTCANTCAAACAGGAAGATGGATTACAGTTTTGATTACATTCAGGCTGGTGGTAATGATACAAGCATTGATGGCGCATATTGGGTTGTTTGTCTGCTTTGGTTCTCACAGCCTAACAGTGCTTCAGAACTACACAGAAGAGGGGGGGGACAAGGTCAACAAGAACTTCAATCCGGGTCGAGAGGCTACAGTCGAACATTTAATGCCACGCACAAAGTATTAATGATTCAGCACACGGACATCATTGCTAAGTCTTCGTGGAACAGTCTGCTGTATGGATAAGTAAGGTTTCGAGACTATCTATATGTGTCTTAGATGCATCGACATGTTGATGTTTTTTAATTGAATTTTGTCACTGAAATGAATGACATGGAGCGCAGCAACTAGAGAAAAAGAACAGGTTGTCGTCAAAGCACAAACTGTGATAAGTTTATTTAGGTTGATTTCATTTTTCAAACGACAGACTATGGTACACTCGCCCGATTGCCACAGTCCAAGGACAGTGGTAGGAAGTGGAACTTGTTTGATACTTGTATCGGATGTCATATACTATCCTCAGAATCCAACACGTAACTGGGTGATAAAAAGATGAAGAATCTGAGAATATATTGAGAGCGGAAGACACAAATAATCGCATCAGTAGCATTCAGACAGTGTTATTCTAACCTTAACACATCTACGTGTTAGTAGTTTCAGAGGGAATAGATGACGCCAATGGAACCATTCTGTAACAGCAGGTATCTAATCTTTTGACCACCGACAGTTCATCTAGGGAAGTTGGCAAAAAAGAATGGTATTACACCAATCAGGAAGAGATGTATGAACAGCACACACACACACACACATTTTTCTTTTGGGTGTAGACATCATCTCAAGAACATATGATTCGAAGAACTGGATAACAGCTGCCAAGTAACCGCGATTTTCGCACATCTCCTCGCCGCCTTAAGGGCAAAGCTTGGGCTAACCAAGAACTCGTTTCGGATCCCCAAAGAAAAATAAGTGAATGACTGGACAAAATTGCCCTGGGAGCACACAATCGGTTTCGCGGTTCTTGCCGCTCGTCAGGCATGCGTATGCGGTAATCTTTTGCCAGTTCATTCATATACTTGTACCCAGGAAGTGTATTTTCATCATAATAACCTTGTTTGCAACATCGAGTGACCATTGGCTAGACAGCTCTTTCAGAGCCAGTCCAATGAAGAATCAATGCTATGATTCGATGTTTTGTGAGTGGGTTAGATGCTACTAACCGCAACAAACGTGACCTGATGGTCTTTGTAGAATATTTTACAATACGTAATATATGTCAAGACTGTATGTACATCAACGTTTTCACCCCCTGCAAAATCCTCTTCGTTCTCAAGTACCCTGACGGTGCATTTCTCGGGTCCACTTATGCACCAACTTTGAGCTTCCCTATTCGTGTGTCATTTCCTGACCGTCGTCTTCTTATCCGCGAGTAGCAGATGAACGTGGAGGGGTTTCCCTCTGACATCAATGAACACCACTGTACGTTCATTCAACTGCTTTCTGTAGATAGATATCACTTTCCGATCGGATCGTTATTTCGAAGGGTCAACTATCACACAAAGTTGTAACTGGATTCTACCCATCTATCATTGTGATTTGAAGGAACCACTGAGTCGGGAGGAAGCTATCGAATCACAGAGGTGCCGGCAAATCTGAAAACTAAAATAGATACACTTCTAAACGACAGCTTTATTTGATAAGAAAATGGAAATGTACCTACCGGTATCACCCTCAGCTGTGAACGTGTCCGTATCGGTGTCCCCCCAGCTGTTATCCATTTGAGGGTCATCGGGATTCCAGGAATCTGAAACATATATGAGAATTAGGTGTATGTTCCGGGGAATATGAGGGGGAAAAAGATGTCAAAGACACGTGAAAAGCATAACTGATTATCCTAGCCTCTCTCAGTCGTCTGTCTTACAGCGTGTCAGCCGCGACTGCGGCGGAGTCTTACAAAATAGACATAACTGCCGGAAAAATTGAACCAAAACAGGTATTCTTCGGAGTACATTAGAACACGGCTTCCACCGACAGACAGGATAATTGAAGGGTTGCGATAACGATTTCGATTTATGATCAAAAAGAGAGACAGAATTAGTACACCTAATTCGTGCAATTCTAAAGAACCATCAGATCTAAGCAATAATTGTCCTTTGAAGCACCAGTTCTAAAAAGAACGAGGTATTGTTTTCATAAGCAACCTACCGTTCCGGTAGTCAAATAAGTAGAAGTCACCATCAATGTGAGCAGCTACACGTTACATGAGCGTGAAAGAGATATTTCTCGGTTCTTCTCAGACGATCATTTGTAGAGAAAACATTTGGCGACATTCCTATACTTGTAAATCGGAAAGGAATTAGAAGCGGACAGAAATGAATGCAAATCGACAGAAGATTGAGATGAGAGTGGAAAAGGAAACTCACTTCGTTCCTGGTTGATCAAGTCCATATTGACAGCATGAGCCAACGCCATGGATTTCCGTCGCATACTGAATCGTTGGAAACTATCCTGTTCGAAGTTCATGCCAGCCGATGAGCCTGAATGGACTGTGGGACTAGCGAGACCCACAGTGTTGTAAGGACTATACACTCCGAGTTCATCGTCAACTGAAAGACCACTGGGTGGTTCAAAACGTGTGAGACGACGTCGATGTGGTCCCAACGTACTCCGTTCACTGGACAAACTCAGTGTATCTAATAAAATGAGACACATTTTGATATGAGAGAAAGAATAACAACCGTGATGATAATTATGGAAATTTCAGAATATAAGACAAGCACAACAGTGTTCGTCGAAACGCCCCCACAGTGAATTCAACCTTCAATTAGATCTATCACCCCAAAGCGTAACTTGCCTATCCGAAAAAGCCAAACAGGTAGTACGTACAAATGGTAGTCCGACGGCAACAGGATAAACGATCACAACGAGTCGCAACGTGCATGAAAAACCGCGTCGACAACAGTGGTCGCGTGATTACGGTAAGTTGCCACCGCCTTACATGGAAACCGCCAACCTGTTCACAGCGCTGGACCCAAATCGACCACATCACTATCAGTTACCGCTGGAGGAGATCGATTCAAGACTGCCGTTCTTACTGGTCAAGACCTGCGGATATGGACCACGCCTTCCGACGAGTCGAATTCTCCTTGCGCCGACAAACAAACGAAGATGAACATCTACAATACAACGTCAGCGATTCTTGCAAATCACCCTTCGAAGCGGAACTCTCCGATCGTCTCTTAGTTCAATCACCAGCCGAAGGACTCAATGAACACTGAAAGCCAATCAGGGAGGCAATGCAAATATCAATAAAAACAACGTCGGACCGTCACGCAGGCTAAAAATATAAACGATGGATCTCATCGACCTCGGCTGCCCTGCTGACACCCGCAGAAACCTGCCTCCGCATGCCGCATATAACACATCCCGCAAATCCCTTAAACGCCAGCTCACTAAGAGTCTGAGGAATGACCGCGAGAAGCGGTGCATATGAAAGCGTAGAAAGATGGAGCGGGGCGCAGCTATTGGCAATAGTCGCAATCTTTTCCGTCTAAGTAGGAATACGGGTCCGAGGAAAATAAGCGTAATCAAGGTAATCAAGGAATCCAATGGCACACTGATTCATGATCAGCAACGCCGTCTTGATCGATGGGCGGAAAATTTCAAGGCTCAGTTCAACTGCCCCCCATTGACACCTTATCTTTCACTCTCCGCCTCGACTGGACAAATACTCCCAGTTGATGCTAGTCCTCCATCTGAAATGGAGGTTTCTCCAGAAATAAGTTATCTCAAAAGGCATAAGGCCTGTGGCCCAGATGGGCTGTTCTCATCAGCGTTAAAGCATGGAGGCTCAGCGTTAGTCTTGGAGTTGACAAAACTCCTGGACTCAATATGGGAAAGAGAGGAGGTTCCAGCTGGATGGTATGAATCGGTGATCATACCGATTCACAAGAAAGCTAACAGATCCTCTTATGAAAACCACAGAGGAATCAGTTTAATCAA